GAAAAAAATCAAATTCAGATCAGATACATATAATCACACAAAGTTGTTTTGTTTAATGAGAAATTATCCTTGTTTTCTTTTTTTTATCTATCGCATTTACACAGAGAGGATTTAATGTTTAGTTTATATACATGAACAAAACAAAAATCGTGAATAATTCTTTTTCATAAATTAACAAGATTTTTTTTTTAATCATCACTAAAACAAAAATAATGTCATAGAATATTTTTATTCTAATTAGTATCACTAACAGGTTTGTGATTACTAACACGTTGTTGGGATTGAATTTCACGTTTTTTTTTCTTGAATAAATGCAATAAAATTCGATTTTTTTACAGGATCATCACGATGATTAAAATACCAATAAAAACTGTTTTCAAGCATCAGTCTAAAAAATATCAATATATATATTTAAATAAAATTTTACTTAGAAATTACCTTAAAAAAGGTACATGAGACCAATCAGATGGAGCAGATTGTATTGATGTACGATTTGCTTGATTATGAAAAAATTTTGATTGATGAGATTTACTTAATAAAATTGTCCATGGATCTATATTTAATTAATTAATTAATTTTAAAAAAAAGGATAAAATATTTTTTATACGTACATTGAACAAATTTAAATATCCATAAACCACGAACTTCTATGCATGGTTTACTTTCAATATCTACATTAGTAAACTAAAATCCATCATTATCAATTCGATCCAATGATCCATTAGGGCATAATCTAAACAAATAAGAAACGATTTCTAATAAAAAGATAAGGATGTAAGAAACTATTAGAATCTTTTTGACTTTATCTATAAATCATAAGTATATCTTAATACAGTTTGGGTTTTTTTTTTATGTTTAGCAAAGGATGCAGCATTTCGCAGAAGATCAAACGAACAAGTTTTTTATCGAGATCTACTTATGACCAAAAAAATTGGATTCAAAATGGCTCGAACATGTCGAAAGATACTCTCGTAATCAAACTTGTTATTTTATACTTCAACCGAGAAATTTCACAATTTTTCAGATGTTATATTTCAAACGACTAAAATGTTTTTTCTTAACTAGCTTTTATTTGATTAAGATATGCAATACACTTTATAAGTTTCAATTTAGTTTGAGCTTAAACTTCAGAACACTAAATACACTTGTTGACAATAAGGAAACAGC